ATCTATATACATATATAATGTATAATAATTGAAATTTGACTGTATTTTACAAAATACTAGTCTACTAAAACACAGCCAAGATAAGTTCCTTTGCACAGACCAAAGGTCAGTTTTATGTTATTTGATATGTAACAAGAGTCATTGTAACTTCTCAATTGTTAGCCAGGCACAGCTGAAAGGTCAATATAATAAATATATATAAATGTTATGAGATTTAAGCTATTTAGTCTAAGCATTTATGTTTTCATATTGTAATTTGTGTTCATTCTAGAATGAAAGAGGCATAATTTATATTTATTTCCTAATTTTTTATGGTGGTTGCAAGATTGGTCAAATCTATCCAACCAGTACAAAGATTAATTACTGAAAATAATAAATAAAATATGATGTTTTTTTAAGAAACATTTGATAATTATCTGGACATTATAAATATTTTGCATGCGAAATTTGAAAATTTTCTTGAGGATAAAAGTATTTTTGATCTTAAAATGAAAATTACTTTGCATGATAGATAGGCAACATGCAAAAAGAAAAAAAAGACATGGGAAAAACATTGCTTGATAAACCTTAAGACTTAATAAAAAAATATTTTGTGTATGAAAGCATTGTAATGTTTACTGATAATCTGCCAAATTTCATTAACATTTGCTAACTAATTTAAAAGTTACAGCATGAAAACTATAACAAGTACAAAATGGTAAGAGGACGGTCCCAGGGACCGAGCCCTTGCTGAAAGAGTTAAACAAAATTTAAAAGCACTAGTGTAAATATGAATATATATTTAGGTTTTTAGTAATGTTTTTAGTTAGAATAGTGTGCTTTACTATTGTATCATGATCAATAGTAGTTGTTTAATGAAAGTATTTATATACTTTTAGATTTTTAGATGCATAGCAAATTAAAACTTAAAATTGCAGATGTGTGAAAAATAATTCTGTGAAACAATGTGTTTTAAAAACACATTGTACAGTTTCACTTAATATGATATATTTTCAGAAATAAGGAATAGATACAAATAAAAAATCAGGTTTTTGTTCATCTTCAAAGATTTAGAAACTATACATCAATTAGATGGAACAGTTGGAAATATAATTTCTAGTGATGAAACACGCTATCTTCATGTACTGAATAAGCTACTTGTAACCTAGGGTTCAAGTACACTGAGAGAAAAAACAATGCACAAATACTACACTAAAGTGGGATAACTGAAATTCTAAGAAAATGGTTTTTAGAAAAAATAAAGTAAAAAGAGTGCGGAATAGTAAATATAATTTCTTTTACATTAAAAATAATGGAAAATTGCAAATTTAAGAAAGGTGAACAATCAGTTTATGGTATATGTGGTGCAGTACGATAGGATATTTGGAAAGCTCGTTAATTGTAGTAAGATTTGCTGAATTAATTAATCAAAACTGATATTTCTGTTTTAGAAATTAGACTAAGGTAAAGATAAATTTTTCTCCTTAAAAATGTTAGACCTGAACTTAGATATGGAATTGGACAGAACTAGAAGCTATCAGTCTGTCCAGATCTTGAGGATATATGAATCTGTTCAGGTCTGAGACAGTCTTATTAGTAAAAGCATCTGGTGTGTTCAGTCATGGAGAAAACACCAATTTTGTGTGGTTCTTGAAAATAACTTGGCTATAGTATCAGTATCTTTATAGTCTATTTTTATCATAACTTTAATGCATTATTCATTAATCTACCTGACATATAAAACTGATAACTATATGCCAGAGTTAGAGTGGAAAAAAATTTACTATGCTAGTAATTGGGCTTTAATAATTTTAAAACTTGTCCATATGGTAATCCAAGTACTTCTGCTGAATATTGTTTTTAATCAGTCACTTTTTCTCATCCCACATTTTCATTAAATGTCTAGGCATACTGCTGCCAACAGTTGTTTTGAATTGTCATTTTTTTTCTGTTTCTGGTTTTTGTAATAGAAATTTTATGATCATATTCATTGAGGATATTATACAGTATCACAACAACACAGATCTTACCTAATTGATAGGCATCCATTATATATTGCATCCATGTGGTTCTTGACAATAGTGGTTCAATATTAAATTGAAAAACTATATTATATAACAATATGATAACCATAAACTTGGGCACTTACTTTCATATGATATTTCATAACATCATATAGTTATAAAAAGTTATCAGTTTCCCCATGTAAACTTGATTTGTAAAGTAAGATGATTTAACATTCATTTGTTCCTGAATCCTAGGTAGTTAGAGTTTTTTAGTATACAACCATGCTTTATGTTCACAAGTTTTGGAATAATAGCTCCTTCAATAATCTTATGAAAAATTCAATGACGAGGAATCCACTTTGAGACTAATAATGCTTGGGGGCATCTTGAATGGGTAATGAAGAAAAACTTTAATATGAGTTTAACATAACAGTAAATGTACAACATAAACAAACGAAAAATCAAGGAATCCATCTTAAT